GATTTCCTTGTTTAGCGATACACAGCCAAACACAGCCAAACTCAACCTGAACACACACAAAGTCACAGCCGAAATAAAAACAATAAGTGTGGCTTGATATTGAGTAAGAAAAAGGTTTATAGATTGATAAACGCTGTGAGAATGGGTCTGCAGAGAGAATTTCGCGCAATCCCAACTGTCTTTTATCAGCCTACAGCACGGAGCAGAAATCAGCAGGGCTGCCTGCACTGCGTGTGTGTGTGGATTGGTCAATTTGGACCAATCAGCGGGGGCTTAACGTAACGGCTCCGCGGACGTAACGTAACGGCTCCACGGATTGGCCCATTTAGTTCCGGGTACGTGCTTTCGTAAGCACGTACACGGAAGAATCAAATGGATGATGACGTCATGATGACGTTTCACCAACGAGGCGTTTTGGGGAGGTATTTTCTGTTTTAGAGTTTTACTCGCTACAGGGTGTACTTTGAGGATTTTGACTCTGCACACCGTTTAGATGCAGAAAATCCTACATAACACACAAGGGGACGGGTAATAACCGGAAAAGCATGACATGTGAGCTTTAAGCACATGCCATATGAGAAGAACAATACAAGATCTAGAAAATGGGAAATCAGAATTCCACTTTCGTTAGGCATACAGTTAGTACTCTGAATGATAATGTCTCATTGTATCTGCCTCTGTCAGACCCCGTTGTATTCAACCTGGCCCTCTCTCCTGTGATCGACGGGGACTTCCTTCCTTATGACCCTTCCAAATTGTTCAACAATATGGCTGATATTGATTACATGGCTGGAGTCAACGACATGGACGGACACCTCTTCACTGGTTTAGATGTTCCTACGATCAACTCCGGCCTGGTGAACACCCCTATGTGAGTTTAAGCCATTTGGTCACTTTAAAGATTCTGTTCCAAGAGCAACATACCATACTTTGGTTAGAACTGTTTTGTATGTTTCTAATTTTCTAACCTGATTGCAGCGACGATGTGAAGAGGCTCCTGGCTGCGTACACTAAGGACAAGGGCAAGGCCGGTGCGGACAATGCTTATTCCACATATACCTCAAACTGGGGCTCAAACCCCAGCAGGGAGACCATCAAGAAAACCGTGGTGGAGATCGGAACAGACTTCATCTTCCTGGTTCCTACTCAGGCTGCCCTTTACCTTCATGCTGCCAACGCAAAGTGAGAATAAGATCTTCTTATACGGAGGATGCTCTTATTTAAAAGCCCTTTTGTTCCGCATCGTAATTTTGATTTCCTAGTCCCTAGTCATGTCCCTAGTAATCTCCAAAGTCCTTAAATTGTTTTGCATTTTTTTGTTGTGTAGTCATTGTCACATGCCTTTATTTCCTTGCCTCACCAAAGAACCGGCCGGACCTACTCCTACCTCTTCTCTGAGCCCAGCCGTATGGGCGGCATTACCAAGCCCTTCCCCAGCTGGATGGGAGCCGACCACGCTGAAGATCTGCAGTACGTTTTCGGAAAGCCTTTCTCCTCACCACAGGACTACTTGCCCTGCCACCGTGATGTCTCTGGCTACATTATCGCCTATTGGACCAACTTCGCCAAAACTGGGTAACATTTCTGCAGATACAAGACATAGGAGATTCACAGAATTCTAACAGACCTGAATTAGTCATTCAAGTAGAAACCTAAAACTGTCTTAAATGTTTTGCACTTTCCCAATTGTATCCACAGGGACCCCAACAAAGGAGGTCAGAGTGTGCCCACTCCTTGGCCTCAGTTCACCAGCACTGGACACCAGTACGTGGAGATCCATCATGATATGAACAAAGCCTATGTGAGGCAGAAGTTGAGAATACGTCATGTGCATTTCTGGACCAGCGTTCTACCCAACCTTCCCATTTTAGCCTCAGAATAAACTCCTTGTGCATCAGATGTGCAGCTGCAGTGTGGACCTACTGTATCTACTTGTATTATTAAATAATCATTGGTCCATGTACAAAATAAATTGATGAAAAATACAAATGATATTACTTGTTTTGTTTTTTCTTTAGTTCGATGAAAACATGTTTTGGGTATTTTGTTTTTTTTATCATCAGTGTGAGCTAAAGTACAAGCAGCAAAATTAAAGCAAGTTTAAAAATTAAAACAGATGTTTAAAGTAATATGCTTTTTATGTCTCACCAAATCCTTTTGTCTAAATCTGCTCACAAAAAAGCTTGAACATTTTTAAACAAGAGGTTATCACTTTAATGACATGAACACTTGCCAAAGAAGATGTTGTTTTTCAAGACAAAATATTGAGATAATAAAGAAGATAAAGACTGTGCCTGTTTGATTAACTTTGGTGACAGGGCTAAAGCTAGCTAAAATAGCTAACACACTGTATTAGCCGCCGTCCTAGCTGTCGAGCAACATTCAGTTTGTTAGTTTGTCCTGTTCCACATAATTTCACTCATGGAAGAGACATTCTAGTTGGACTAAAGATCGGGCAAAATAAGTTAGTTGGAACAGTAAGCATCATGTCATTTCCACTGTTACGCTGATGATACCCAACTGTATCTCAGCACCACTCCATCCTCCTACCTGTTTGGGGTTCCCAACAAAACCCTGGACAGGCTCCAGTATGTTCAAAACTGTGCTGCTAGGGTGCTCACAAATACAAAGTCGTGGCAGCACATCACTCCCACCCTCATCCACCTCCACTGGTTGCCAGTCAAGTCCCGCATAATCCTACAAAGTCCTCCTCCTCACCTACAAGTCCCTCCATGCCCATGCCCCCCAGTACTTATCGGACCGCCTCCGCCCACATGCCCCACCCCGGAACCGGCGGTCTTCAGACTCTGGCCTGCTTAACACCCCCCACACCAAACTGCGAACCTTCGGGGACAGAGCCTTCAGCGTGGCAGCCCCCACCCTCTGGAACGCTCTCCCTGCGGAGATCCGCAACATCCCCACGCTTGATGCCTTCAAAAGGGCCCTCAAGACCCATCTGTTTGCTAAGGCCTTTGGCCCCTAATCTATTTGTTGTTTTGTCTGACTGCCTTTTGTTTTCTTATGTTTGTTTTGCCCTGTTTTTCTTTGTAAAGCGACCTTGGGTCTCATGAAAGGCGCTATATAAATCCAAGCTATTATTATTATTATTATTAAGCGGACATAGTAATTTAATCATTTTGAAAGCTAGAATAGCGAGGCCACTAGCTTTCTGCTAGGATAGCCTAATGCTAAAATGTATATTTTCAAGAATAGATTCAGGAAATGGGTAAAGCTAAGTTTTAATTTGAGTGAACCTTTTCTCAGCTGAGGATTTAAGGCCTTGGTATTAGTCATTATCATTTGGTATTTCTCCTATTGGCCTACACATATAGTGTTAGGGAATAATTTGCTTAGGTATTCAACCTTCGACACAGTTCATCGTTTTCTCTTCTCACTGTCTCTTTTCCCATGGCATAGTTCTACGGCCTTGGGTATTGCTGCTATCTCTCTTAAGGAGGGGCAGCTTGGGCGCATTGTTGTTGCCAGTCTATGACAGAGCACAAGCCGCCATGATGTAGTTTACTGTTCAGGGACGAAGGTTCCCTGGTGCACATTCTTTTCTATGGACGAGAGCTCTAGTTAAATTCAGGGTCCATAATTTGTTTAGTCTAGCTTATGAAGAATGTTGATTAGTACACTCCGAACTAGTTAAAACCTCGAGCTGCAGAAGAGTTCTTCAGAATTGGTTTGGCAACCGCTGTGTCAACTCGTGACAAACAACCTGTGTTGTCAATTCTCCGACCGTAACTCCAAATAAACCGTCAGTGTTTGCCATCGAGTGCTGTTTCCAATTGCTTCAGAAGTTTCCCCCACAATTAGCATAGCTGCCTACAGTTACATGTATCTTCCATGCATAATATCAAATTCTCCTCTTATCTTGCATTTTGTGTCACACCACTAATATCTGTCGGCAAATAAGGGTTTGTATGCAACTGTTGTAAGTCTCTGAATCTCTACAATGAGTAGAATATTAAATTCCAAAAACATTTTCCACTAACATCTGCGCCTCAGATGTGTGGGGTTATTTTGTGGTTATATCTAATCTCAAACCATGTGATATTTGCTTGTCTGAGAATCAGTCCACCTGTTGTCAACAGAAGCAGTTTCCTACTTCAGTGTTGATGTGACATTTATCTTTGTATGTTTTGCTGATTACTTTATCATCATAGTGGAAAGATGGTGGAACAAAGTGGGGACTAGCAAATAATTTTCTACAGCAGAATGCTAAAAAATATGGCAAATATTCAGACTCTGAAATCTGTTCTAAATCAGTGATAGGGAAAAAACGATACAAACTTTGCAGTGGCATGGTTAACACCGGGCTGTTTCCCACTAGAGGTCAGGAATTGGAGGTCAGGTCATCAACATAGGGAAACAGTAAGTGTTGAAAAGCTTATATAACAAAAGTAAACAGCTATATTTAACATTCATTCTCTTGCAGGGAGGGTCTTGTGTATATAGGCCCACTGTGAGACTGGTTTCTCGACAGCCATGGAGAAACTGAAGATTCTGCTTGCTGTTGTCTTATCTTTTGGGACGGCCTCAGCAGCCTCTGTAAGTGTGCTTCAATTTTAATTACAAGCATCTTTCGATTTGCATGTAATTCATCTACTCTCTGTGATTTAAAAGATAATCAATAATTTTGGGGGAGATAATAGAATGTGATAATTGTTTTAATGGTATCTGCCTTCACTTATAATGAGATCACTAAATCCCCTGTCAACTTTATCTAATTGCATAAATTCAGCATAAGCATATAAATTCTGGCAATGTTTTTACACAGTTTTGCAATTTTAGTTTTATTTACCAGTCATTCATTTTCTCTTTTTGATCATTTTGTGTCTGTTAGTGGCCATTTTGGCTCTTTATGGTTATTTTATGTCTCTTCCATAGTCATTGTGTGTCTCTTTGTGGCTTGTTCAGTAATCCATCCATGTCATTGAAGGTGAAAGCTCTTGTGTTTCGTGTCTCTAGCTTGGTTTGGTACAAACGGAAGGTGGCAGTGTTCAAGGAAGAAATATCCCCCTTGGTTTTTTCCGCTCTGTGGAAGTTTTCAAAGGAATTCCCTTCGCTGCCAAGCCTGGAACATTTGAGAAACCCCAACCTCACCCTGGCTGGGATGGTGCGTTCAAACCCCATCTGAACAAACTTTTTAAAATTATTATCTGTGAATAGCATAAACAGAGGCTAAGAAATCTCGCTTAAATTCTCCTTTAATTGCTGTAAAAAAACTAATATTGTTTCCATCCACAGGCGTCCTTAAGGCAACTAAGTTTGCCCAGAGATGTCTCCAGATCAGCATGCTCCAGACTTCAAGTTTTGGTTCTGAAGACTGCCTTTACCTCAACATCTGGGTTCCTCACGGCCGACAAGGTAGCTTTTTTATTCTTTGATTTCTGAAATAATTGACACAGTTGTGCTTGTAAAATGAAATAGCTTTTTCTTTCTCCCCAAGTGTCATCAGATCTCCCCGTCATGATTTGGATCTATGGAGGAGGCTTCTTGGTTGGTGGTTCAATGGGGGCAAACTTTCTCAACAACTATCTGTACAGCGGTCAGGAAATTGCAGACAAAGGTGGTGTCATCGTGGTGTCCGTGGGATACCGTGTGGGAACCCTGGGCTTCCTCAGTACTGGAGACTCTCGCTTACCTGGTGGGATAAGTTCTTTATATTCAGTAACTGCTGTAAAGTAGCTGGGTATCCTGGATGCCTGTCTGCCAGCAGACCTGTTGGCTTTATTGGAATGATTTTGACTCAAAGTGTCTCATCACTACAGGAAACTACGGTCTGTGGGACCAGCATGCTGCCATCGCATGGGTGAGCAGGAACATCCGCTCTTTTGGAGGAGACCCTAGTAACATCACCATCTTTGGAGAGTCAGCAGGTGGAGCTAGTGTCAGCTTCCAGGTGAGATGCTTAATAGGAACAATGAAGGGCTTGCCATGTTTCAGAATCAGAATCAGAATCACTTACAATTCAAGAGAAAGTTCACCAAAAAGAAATGGAAATATTGGCCTCAGAGATGTCTGCCCTTCTCTACAGTGTAATGGAAGTAGTATTCAGTACTTTTCAACACTCCCACTACTTGTACTATGTCACAAGTGTCAAGCACGACCTAAAAGTGTTTTTTTCATCAATTCTCCATTACTGAATCCAGGCAAATTGGCCAGCAAACATAACTACAAGTAATAATTTTATATTCTATGTTTGTATTCCTTCACAGACGCTCTCCCCCCACAACAAAGGGCTGTTCAAGAGAGCCATCTCCCAGAGCGGTGTTGCCTTCTGCCCCTGGGCTATAAACAGGAACCCCAGCAAGACCGCAGAGGAGGTGTGTTTTTATTTCATGTCAGACCATGACAAATTCCAAATGTTTTCATTTATAGGATCATTTATATTCATTAAAGGATTTAAATATAACTGAAGTTCTCCTCTTGGGGTCAATATAATCGTATCTCATCTTGCGCAACAATTTTTCCTTAGAAGATTGTAGAGATCCACAAACTAGACATTCAATAACCCAAATGTTGCTGTTCACCCCACGTGGACATTTCCATGTTCTTCTTTTTATATTAATTTTGGCTTTAAAAATCCCCATCAAATATACATTCTATGTTTTATAGCAATATTTGAATGTAGATTGGTGGTTAAGTTCAATGTTATGTTGTTTCAACTTCCTCATATTACAGTTATTTATTACATAGCCACACGTACACGTTACATCATAGCTGTGCATCCTAAGACACCTGCTTAGCCAGTGATCTTGGAAACACTATTACTCTTGTCCACAGGAGGAGCAAAAATCAGTACTAAAAATGTTTTCCTTGCGGTTGCTTCAAATCCCCTCTTTACAACCATGTGCACAGGTTGCTGAGAAGGTCGGCTGCCCCATGGATGACTCGCTGGTGTCCTGTCTCAAATATGTTGATGCTGCAACTCTCGTCATGGCTGCCCCCCGCCTCAAACTGGGCTCCCCTGATTGTACGCCTTATCTTCTGTCCGACGTACTGCTTCATCTAGAATATAACAAGAAATGGAAATTGACAACTTATGACGTGCAATGTATCTTAGCACTTTAGGTATAATTGTTCTGCTGTAGTTTGCCGTAATTTGCCTCTTATGTCTTTGATCAGAATGTTTTTATCACTTTCTCTCAGCTCCCGGTGTGCTAAACATGGTTCTGGCTCCTGTTGTTGATGGAGACTTCCTCCCCGATCAGCCTGAAAACTTGTTCCACAACACTGCTGACATCGATTACCTCTCAGGGGTTAATAACATGGATGGACACCTGTTCACCTCCAAGGACATTTCCTCCATTGGGGACAAGAATCAAGAGACTTCTGTGTAAGGCTGATGATTTGTCTTTCTGTTTTGTCGGCCCTCAGAGTTTTTTCACTAACAGAGTTCTCTACCTTATTCCACTGCAGAGAAGATGTGAAGAGGCTCCTTGGTGCTTATACCAAAGAGACAGGGCAAGCTGGTGTTGAGGTTGCCTTTACTGAATATTCATCCAACTGGGGATCAACACCCACCCAGACCACCATTAAGAAAGCTGGTGTAGACATTGGGACTGACTTCCTCTTCCTGGTTCCTGCACAGACTGCCATCTACCTGCATGCAGCTCACGCCAGGTAAGGCCAACTGCTTCATCCCCTAACTCTTCTTAAAAAAACACTATTTTTTTAGATCTTCATTGGACAACTTCCACTATACCTAAACACAATTTCTTGAAGCGCAAGATTGCTGCTTTTATTCAGATCTTGCTGTTCTCCTTAACTGTTTGTTCTTATATCTATAAGTTGTCAGCGTTCTGTTATGTCTTCGGAAGTTGAGAGCAAATTTGCAAATGGCATTTTCATATGTTTTGGACAACAGTAATGTATGGCAGATACAACACACTGTGATTATATATAAATAAACATTGATTGATGTCATTTTCAGGTCTGGCCGTACCTTCTCCTACCTGCTGTCCGAGCCCAGTTTATTGGCCGGACCGGGCAAACCCTACAATGACTGGGTGGGGGCCGACCATATGGATGACCTGCAGTACGTGTTTGGAAAACCCTTCACCACACCTAAGGCTTATGGGGACCGGCACAGAGACCTGTCTGGCTACATTATCGCCTACTGGACTAACTTCGCCAGAACTGGGTAAATGCACATGCAACACAAATTTGAACAGTTTGAGGATTATCTTGCTATGAAATGTATCATAATGTGTGTTGCTTTTGCGACTTTTTTCTTTTTTTTTAAACAGAAACCCTAACAAAGGAAACATGCAGGTTCCTGTGAACTGGCCTGAGTTCACCAGCACTGGACACCAGTTCCTGGACATCCATGCTAAGATGAATGAGAGCTCTCTTGGACAGGAAATGAGGCTACGTTTTGTTCGCCTTTGGACCAGCACCCTTCAAAACCTCCAATCACGTGGTGTCACAGATGCTCAGTGATACATTTGCATTCACTGCATTACAAATGTACCAATTATACAATAAATATAATGAGTGATAAATAAACTAATCAGGAGCTTATTAAACGTTTCAACTTGACTGCCTTTTTAACATACTTTGATCATCAGCCATCAATTTGTCATCCTATAAATACTGCCTGTTGTTCAATGCGACTAAAAAGTCACTTTAGTCTATACTGTACATTTCCAATCACAGACAAGGAACACAACAAAACCATGAGAGCAGCGAAGGGCTTAAGATGCTGATTAAAAACAGGTGAGTAGATGGTAAAAAAAGGAGGAAAACACAGCAAACTCCAAAAACTCCACAACCTAGTCCACTTTATTTGTCACAATGTTTGAGCAGACAGTGCTCCACATGAGAGTGATTACAAGGCCTTCCCCAAATCTGACAGGGAGATTAATATCATATTTTGTTTAAATTGTACCCTGTAGTGGTTGCTCCTCAGTCTTCTGTAACCTTGAACAATTAAAACAGGAGGTAAAAATTGGAGCAGCTAGGCCCAATAAAACATTGATGACGAATTAGAGACCTATTTATCAACTCTACAAGATGATTAATGGTTTGAAAGCAGTATATGAATGTGCCTTAGAAATCACAATAATATCCTGTTGTTTTTCTCTTTAGCTGTGCTCACTCTCATGTGGGGCAGATGTTCTTCCCTGCAGGAAGATATCTGTACAACACCTGCAGCAGTTAACCACACTGATGACTTTCAGTAGCGTTTAGAAAGCCTTTTAAATCATTGCAGGATTTAGTACTGTCCCAACAACTGCAGAACCCAGTAGAATTCTACAAACCACACCAATCAACATCACCTAATCAGTAAATCAGACCCTTTTAAACCCTAGCTAAACAGATAATAAGAAGCCTCGTTTTATATGGCATTTTTCTTGGTTATGTCCAATGCCTATCAACCCTCACATAGGCTTGTGAAGCCACTTTTACATAAGAGTGCAGTTAAGAGCATTACCGATTACAGCCAAGAGGGCGCATGCAGCTCAGGAGTCAGGCTTTGTCACATTACAGGTTAATTATACAGGCTGACCAAAATAGCTAAGAACACATTCAACTTATGAAATATATAAATAATAAAAAGCACGTGAATTAAAAAAGATAAAGCATACAACTTATGATTAGTAATACCAATTAACATGATTATAAGCATACTACAACATTGCCCTATACACCTTATTTACACTTGAATGACAATGACATTACACTCGAAAGTATGTGAACACCCATGGCTGGTTTTTTATGGTTTGACATCTCAAGAATACAGGATCGTCTTCCTATCTTATAATGTAAATATCCAGATAGAACAAATAGTGTTGAGGTGACAATAACTTTTTAATGTGAATATTTGTGATACATGAGGCACATTCAGAACATTAAATTCATGGTATCAATGTTACTCTCATGGTTTGACAGGGAAAGTATGATCACTTATGCAGCCTGAAAGAAAATGTGTATGTGTAACAAGTGAAAGTAAAAAAAGAAAGGCCACAGGATCAGACAGTCTCAGTGCTTTTATTTTGAAAACTTTAGCAACCCAACTGATCTGGTCATCAGTAATCTAATTAGCAAATCTAAATCCAGCAAGGCTGATAGCAGCAGAGACAAAAGAGGGGGCGGACAAATCAAAATTAAACTCAATGCCAACACTAGGTGTGGCTTTCTGTCAGATGAAACAAACTGACAGAGATATACCAGCAGAGACAGTACCTGCAGTAAGAGCATGTCCCCAGGGAAGTTGGCAGTTATTTTTGGGCTTGGAGTAGCTGCGGGGTTTATCATAAAAATTGGAGACCCGCTGGACTCCTGGTACCCGGTATGGCGGGAAACAGGGCTGCTCGCACGGGCTGTGGTGTGCCTCATCGCCGGGGGTTCCCTCTTCACCCTCGGCTGGCTGCACGGGTTCCTCTTCGGTCCCCTGGAGCTGCTGAGGGGGCCGGACGATGTGGGATACATAGTCGAGAACGGTCGCTCGAAAGCCCAGGCTGCAAACGAGGTCCGCCGCAGGAGGAGAACCGGAGACCTGCCCCCGGTGTATCCGAACGGCTGGTACCGGGTGCTGGACTCACGTATGCTGCGGAGGGGAGAGGTCAGGAGTGTCACGGTGCTAGGTAGGCTGGAAGAATTACTGCTGGTTACATAATAAATAGGCCACTTAAGAGTAGTGTAAACAAGGTTGGCTATAACCATGAAACGTCTTCATTTGGTTACTTTCATTAAGCAATTTCTACGTTTGAACATGCAAATTAGACTTATATCTTATCTAATATTTTTCTAATTGAATACCTTTTTTGCAACAGAAGTCTGAGATCAAGTCAAGTTCAAAATGATTGAATCCTTTTGAGAGGGAATTTGAAATATCTCTTTGTATCATTCCATAAATCTGATAAGAAAAACAACACAAATCTTGCCATATTTGTAGTTATTAATATTACAATATAAGCCTACAAAGTAAAGATATAATAATAAATCAGGCTACATATCATATAGGAACAAACTCTTCTGTTAACATCTTTAGTAGATGGGAATTAACCTTGAAAGTGTGTAAGTGACTGATACACAAGTTATGAAAAGCTAGATTGCCCAAACTGCTTCCATATTATTATAGTGTGTGATGCTTTTAAATTACATGTAGATGCAGTAAAAATATGACCACAAGTGGCTCACCATCATCGAACACAATTGACTAGAATTAAGAGGTTCTCCTATAGCCCCAACATTTTGGACTAAGGGATCAAGTAAGATGAGATAGATACACGTCTGGGCTCAGCAGTGGGGCAGGTTATGAATATGCTGACACTGCCCCCTTTTTACATGAGGCATCAGAGATGTGAGATGCAGACGAGTGTGTTTACCCGGTGTGAACCCAGAGAGGAAATCACTTCACAACAGTGACATTTTGACACTGCATTTAACCCATAGATGTGGAAAGATTAGACTAAAAAGCGCCCTTATGATTATTTTACTTCAATTCTTAATTTTTAATGATTATGATTCATTACCTAAAGTAAATTGTAAGAGTAGCAATTGTCAATACAGAAAAGGCAGCTTTTCTTACTTTAAAGTTTAAAGTTCTTAGAACTTTATTGCATTTCTACCACTCAGATATTTGTCTGTTCACCTGGTTTCTGTTGTCAAATAGCTTTGTATTGCGCCGAGTTGCCAGGATATGCATGGAGAGAAGCTCATATTACACAGTTTTTTAGATTTTAAAGTATACATTCAGAACACAATGGCTTACCATCTTTGTTTGTGTAGTTAAGCGATCAGGTTCCAAGTGTCGTTGAAACGGGAGTGTTTATTAAATCATTTCGTAATGGAAGCAAGGTGACATCTTACAATTATTTTTGTATTATAAATCAATCTGCTAATTCCTGAATAATGTGTTTCTGTACTCATGTTTTCACATATAGGCCACAAAACAACTTGTGTTTTGCTGATGAAATGCTTTACTGTGGAGCTGCTGCAGTGTCATTAGCATTTCAGTAAAACAATAATGCCTTTTTTCAGAGAATGTAGCCACAGATCGTAATACTGCAAATATTTGAATACTATCAGTAAGCCATTGATTCAATCACTATTGTTTTACCTCATTAATTAGAGAAAACCCATGTTCAGACAAGCATTGAGTTCTTTAAATATTATCTGATTTGCTTAGATTTGGTTTCACTCTAAAACAAGTATTTTTCTACTTTTGGCTGTCTGCTTGGCAACTGCTCTCTTTGCTGTAATAACAGTAGATCCATTGTATCCAGCTGGACCTGATGGTCTTAATTCAGCCTTACCTGCCCAACAGTGACTGAGTGACATGTTAAGTTTTCTTTTTGGACAAGATATTTTTTCTGATGTATTACTTTTTTCGATAGCCTTTTATTTTTTCAGTTTTTCTGACATTTGGGACGTTTTAGAAAAATGTGTCTTCTTCATATTTACTGTAGCTGTAGATCTCTTTCCTTACCAACTCCTACATCAGGGGGAGGAGGCTGAAAGGGTGAATGGGATGGGTTGGAGGGGGTTTTGGGTGTGAAGGAGGTATATGGTGTGGAGGATAGAGGTCGTGGGGATGGAGACTCCTTCTTTTTATCCTGTTGAATTCTCTCTAAACCTTCCTTAGGTTGGGTTCCTGTTCGATTACTCTTGTCGCTTGGTTTTCATCAGAAACAGATTTCTGACCCAGATGTAACATATAAAAACTCCTATACCTTCTTGATATGTATAAATTCTGTTACAAGTAAATGTGTTTCCAACAACGATACCTATGTGATTTATTTTAGAATATTTTCATTGAAGCACCTTATTTGTGCTTCCCGTTTTAGATAAGTTATTCCTGTGTTGCTATGCGGTGGGACTGTTTGATCTCTTCAGAGAGTTTCTTTGCGTTTGAATTCAAAACGGTTTCAAAGAGGGTGTGGAGCTTTCATGCTTCTGTCACATCACCCACCATAAATAAACAAACAGTATATGAAAGGTTTCCTACCCGAAAAACATATCCACTAGTGAAAAGAGACACCTGCTCTTGCAAAGTGGATTAGCATACAGCTTCGCTTAAAATAATCGTATATGTTATCCAATAATCAAACTGAGAAAAAGTAGCACATCCCCACATTTGAGAAGCTGTTACCAGATAATTCACTTTTCGTTGACCACCGACGGAAAAGATGAATAGACCCAATCATTTAAAGCTGCTGTCAACTTTGTTTCTGATGATGTTTTAATGTGCAGTGGTTATGCTCAGTATCATGACGGTTAATCTTCTGACGCAAGAATGAATTGTCATGCTTTTGAAAAAGAGAATATACATTTCAATAGATTTAGGATTTAAAATAAAACAAACAAATGTCAAATATGTAACATTTTGACATGTGAAAACTTTAATATTGATGCACATTTTAAGGATCTTGATCATTTGTTGACTTGTTGGCTTCTCTTTATATCAGATTTTCAGCAAACACTAGTGTAACACACCGGTTTTTAAAGCTCCTACACACTAGATCTGTGATGGGGATCAACTGTTACCAAGGTGGAGATAATGGAATCCTATAAAACAGTAATTACACAGTACAGGCTCTGTATTAGACAACCTCTTAGTAAATAATTGTACATGCTCTGGTCCTCTTCAACCCACCTTGTCCCTTTCAGTACCCCCCCTCCAATTTACTGTTCCATAATCATTTGTACAGGATCCAAAATTAGCTCCCCCAGGATCTGCATCCTGCTGTGAATGACTGCAGCACCTTGCTCTTAACCTTTCTGTGCAGTCATCCATTTGCATCATGTATTAAATTCCGCTTATTTTGCCCTTTGCTGCTCCGATACATTGCGCTGTGGTTCAGTTCTGCCAGTGGGTTACTCTTGACTAAACTGACTCGGCCTGAGCTAATTCTGGGAGAAATCTGAAGACTGTAGGTCAGCCAAAGGTCAAGGCAAAAACAGGAGACACAAGAGGAAGAGATCGTAACGCGCTGTGTGTTACTGTGCACAGATTCATCTGAGCACGCACCGTGCTAAATCCATCCTTGTAGCCAAATTTGACGTAACATTTAGCTAACAGTTGAATGAGGGTGGCAATAGGCAAAATAAGCATTTGAAGTGACCTAAATTAATTATGTTTATAGCCACTATGTATTGAATTTGAAAATCAATGCACACCTAGCCCAACCAACACAATAGTTGCATTTGCTACAGACAGAACAAAAGCCATTTTAATAATTACACACATTTTTCAATTCTACTCGGGGGTTTTCATTATTGATGAAGCCTTTTTTTAAATTGCCAACAAGGCACACATAATTAAAAAAATCTAATCACTGCAACACTTGATTCAGAATTTGGCTGCGCTCTATATATTTCTAAATAAAATGTATTCGGGGCCAGTTCGCTTGTGACAGCCAATTCTATCATTTTAAAACAGCAGTCGCTGTGTGCTTCTGAGGTTTGCCTCCACACAGTGACAAAGCAAGTCTACACTATCTCTGTTTGCCAGTCGCTTCTAAAAGAACAGGCTCAATAAAAATAATTAGAGTAACCTTATTATAAGAGTCTTTACATATTGCCTCTAATTAACCTCCTCTCATTAATTTGCCCAAGGAGTTATCTTTTATATAGCCTCATCCATACTATACGTCTTTAAAATAATTTATACTTAACTTCATACCAGCGTAAGGTTGGGCAATATGTTTTATATATTTTTGTATATGTCCAATATATTAGTAAACCATTAAATTAGCTAAATAAAATGACAAAAATCACCAAAAAATCAACAATCGTAAAAATATTTGCACAATCCTATATCCTACATCTTATAACATTACCATTCAATTCTAATTATTGGCAGCTCATTCATTTAAATGTGTGTCCCTACCCCCATGAATGGCTGTAGGTGAGCAGGTGGCAGTGTTTCGGGGCCAGGATGGCGAGGCCTACGTTGTCGATGCCTACTGCCCTCACCTGGGGGCCAACCTGGCTGTGGGGGGGCAGGTGGTGGGGAACTGCATCGAGTGCCCGTTTCATGGATGGCAGTTTCGGGGAACGGATGGCAAGTGTGTGAAGATCCCCTACGCAGAAAAAGGTAGGAATTATTTATCATACAAGAAACATGTTTTGTGTATAATTAAAAATGACTTGCAATGTATCAGTGCTATGGGGCCTCAATTGGTTCTATTTTAGCTTTCATTGTCTTAAAATAAAATGCATTTCATTTAACCATGCATTACTGTTTCTAGAAAGAATAATAGTTAAAGGCCTTGCGATTGGGTAGTGCTACATGTCCTGAGGGGGGTGCTATAGGACATCCTGAGACAGACGTCTTACAGTATGTCTAACCCTTACATTTCGGTCTGTGTGCTGGGTGTAAAATCTAAGAAATTGGGCCTACAGTTAGTGCCAGCAGAAAAGTTGAGGGACCCAAAAATATATCTAGATTCATATGGGTATTTTTGGATTTACTTTACAGATTTAGAGATCACATGTTGATTAAAGAGACTGTATTTGGCTTTGGTTTGTTGTTCAGTGCCAGAGTTTGCCAAGGTGCGCATCTGGCCCAGCTGTGAGCTCAACGGGCAGGTTTTGGTTTGGTTTCACTGCGACGGAGAAGATCCTCAGTGGCTGGTCCCAGAGCAGCAGGAAATCACAACGGGCGAGTGGGTGTACCGGGGGAGAACTGAACACTTCATCAACGCTCACATACAAGTAGGTGCATATGTGGGTGGATATGTTGTTACCTGCATGAATCGGATTTAGAGTATTTTAAATAGAAACTAATTTATTAGGTGTTTTTCTTTCACCTAGGTGTCTCAACTGTTTACTTGACGATTCTACTTTTTTGTTTTTGTTGATTTGATCAGATTTATTTCGAATGTGTAAAACAATAATACAAAAATGTAACATGAGAATTATTATCCAATACAAAATTAAGCAGTGTCAAATTGATATACAAAAATATTACTGATTGTAAGTTATGTATAAACAAATAATCTACTTAATTACACATCCGAAAAGGGGTGGGAAGAAGTTTACACTTATTTAATCCCACTCCTTCTCCCAAAAACTAAATTATTACAAATATATATTTTATAATATAAAAGATAAATGACATATAATGACATATTTGACATATAAATGAAATATAAAATTCCCATGGCAGAGAAGGGGCTTTTCTTCTGTTAACAAACTTTCAAAATGTTCACAAGAATGGTTCATGGTTTTCCAACTGTAGGAGATTCCTGAAAATGCAGCAGACATCGCTCACCTCGGTCACCTTCACACGCCGGCCATTGTCAGCGGAGTAGATCTGCGATGCACCAACAGCAAAACCTGGGAATTCCTGCGGCATGACTGGAAGGTAAGGATCTCACACCTTTAACAATCTTCAACGTTTTAAGGATGCCACATCACTTCTAAACATTCAAAAGTGTTCGACACACTCTTCAATCGTGTTGATGCTTCTCAGACTGTACAGAATACATTTATTTTAGAAGGATGAAGTACTTCTGAATAGTGTATTCCTGTGTTTAAATGCCATTGTGTTTACTTTGGCTACATGTATGTGTGTGTTTATTCAAGGTTCAATGGGAGCCAGAGGCCGAGCCCAACAAGCATTGTTCTCAGATGTTGGTGAAACATGCTCTTACTGTCTTTGGAAGCACCTGGCATCTGCTGGATGTCTGTGTTTTGGCCAGACAGGTACAGTACAAACATTTTAATTCTACTGACAGCATAATCATTAAACCTCTCAGCGATTTTATTAAAATTCAAATTGATTCCACCCACATTGATTATGTTTCAGATAAAACATCTACTGAACTGCACCTCAACTCAAGAAAACTAAACTGAGATTCCTTAAATGGCTTTTAAATATAGATGAAGACTTTAAATGAACATGGTTTCTGGCTTTTGTGAAGTATTTGCAACCTTTAAGTGTTCGTGAAAAGAGCCCAAAGGACATGAACAGTGCGTGTTATAACAAAATTTAAAACATCAGTGGCCTGAATACCAAATAAGTATTCAGGGCGTCAGCAGGGTCTTAAAAAGTATTAAAAGCTGATAAATCAATTTAGCAAAAATGAAGGCTATTAAAAAGTATTAAACGGCATTTTCCATGATATTATGTTTTGTAGCTTGTTTCCAATAAGTATATAAATTGTCCAAAGAGGTTGTATTCTAAAGTCTGCCAGGACATCGCACGCTCACTGCTTGATAGCGCGCGAAGGTCCGTTTACGCCGGTTGTTAAACAACATCGTTATGGGGAAATGCAAGTCTGCGTCCAAATGGTTGGAAGATAAGGAGGAAGGACAATCAATACTGTATATAGTCAATGTGAGGTAAAGTGTGTCGCCAAGGTAACCGGTTAAAACTCCAAGTGGTGATGAGGTCTTAAAATGTATGGAAAGGGTCTTAAAAAAGGTGTTAAAAGTTCTTACATTTGACTTCAGGATTCCTGCATATACCCTGTAAGTACGAAATACAATAAAAGCCTTGAATCTTGTATGTATGATATTTGTGTTTTCCACCTCAGTCTCAGTCGTGGCCAGTGTCTCTGAGCGGAGACGACGTGATCGCCATCGCTCAGACAGGAACGGGCAAAACGCTGGCCTACCTGCTGCCAGGCTTCATCCACATGGACGGACAAGTTGTGTGAGTTCAGGACCCTTCCTTTAGGTATCGATGTTATACAACAAAGTGTGTTCTCTCTTTACTTGTACTTAATTATGGTGTGAGTTGTGTGATTTTTTTTTTTTGTGTGCATGTTTTGTTTGTTTATTTGACTGGTACAGCACTTTGGTCTGGAGGTTTGAAAGTGCCTTATAAATAAAGCTGTGTTGTATCTTCTTCTGATTTAGAACTGTTTTATCCGTCAAGCTTCTTATTTCTTGTCCTCTCTCTCTTCCTTGACAGGCCCAGATCCAAGCGGGGGGGTCCGGGCATGTTGGTGCTGACTCCCACCAGAGAGCTGGCCCTGCAGATTGAACAGGAGTGCAGCAAGTACAGCTTTAAAGGCTACAAAAGGTCCAGCAGTCTTATTCAAATAAGTCTTAGACAATATTTATAATTTGTATATCCATTATTCACCCTGATTTAAAATCACTTCAATGAGCATGAGCTGCTGACGCCAAAGTGTTTTTAAATAGTCATGTTTTAGCGAGAATTGATCAATGAGACGATACTGCTTGAGTTGTGTGGCCTCTATTTTTATTTATCATTTTCTCAGTTTTTGGATTCACTCTGGAGGCATATGTGGGGGTCAAAACAAATGTATGGTAACACGGGTTTAGTACTTGATAAACAAATCATCTTTTTTTGGGTGGAGGTATTCCTTTTATTGAATGAGCTTATCATCACGGTGACTCGGCCATGACAGTTCCTCCTCTGTTCTCTCAGTGTCTGTATCTATGGCGGAGGGGACAGGCGAGCTCAGATCAACGCGGTGAGGAGCGGCGTGGACATCGTGATCGCGACCCCAGGCCGACTGAACGACCTCCAGATGAACGAGCTCATCAATCTGCGCTCCATCACCTACTTGGTCTGCTGTCGGCTTTTATCTGTGACATTCTTCAGGTCTAGGGTGTTGGCATAGGCCAGGGCTATACGTTTGTTTTTAAATGTTTTGTTGGAGTACAGATGGGTTGTTTTGAATAACTGCTCTGGTCATTAGTAACCTGTGTGCTTTTATTTTTATTTTATTTTATCCTATGTTTTTATTGTGTATTGTGTTTTTAGCACTTCTTAACACGTGGCTTGTGTAGTCATTGATTATTTTGTGATTCCTATGATGTCTTAATGTTTTGTCAAGCACTTTGTGACGCTTTATAAATAAATGTTTCTTACTTAAAGGTGCTGGACGAGGCAGACCGGATGCTGGATATGGGCTTTGAACCCCAGATTATGAAGATTCTGATCGACATCCGCCCCGACCGACAGTCTGTCATGACCAGGTATAAATCAGGTCACGGAAAGTTCTTTATTAGCAAATGTTTTCCATCACGTGTAATAGACGGGACACTGGGACACAAGCAAGCGTTTAGATTGCAGACACTGTCCATAAAATAACAATGTTGGTTTGTTGTCCTTCCACAGTTTAGAGATTGTGTTATAGTGCATGGATTCATCATTTCAGGCCATGTGTTTCATCATGGTGTATATTTATTACCGTTTTAACATGAAAGTTATATATTCTGTATCACAACATAGTCATTTATTTACATTTTGTCAAAAGAAAGGTAAGAAGGAATGGGAAATAAATGTATAATTTAACGGAAACAATTTTAAAAAGCAAATTTGACCCCTGCGTTGAATTGCTTTTTATAGGCTTTTCCTTACAGAAGTGCTATGAAGGCTGTTCGACATATTGGAGGAAGTGCGGTTTACAGGGTTCTTACGGTCATTAAAAACCTCACGGAAATTCGTAATGCTAATTCCAGGTCCTGGAAAAGTTATGGAAAACAATATTTTTCCAAAAGTTTTGGAAATGTAACTAAAGTTGCATCAAATATAATTTATATTTTAGCTAATCGCCGAAATAGTAATACTATAATAATACATACTGTATCGTATAGTAATATAACGTAAAATGGCATTTAACTGTCGAGGTATTTTGCTGGTGAGAGATTTGAGTTGCTTTAGTGTGTAGAAGCTAGTAAGCCTACTATTGGATTTGTTTTAGATAGGCACAACATGTTTCATATGCAGACCTTATTTTCCTGTTCCATGTTAAAATAAATCCATCCATCCAACCATC